ACTTTATCTTTCAATGAATAAGTTCTTTGTAACAACCAACCACTAAGGCTCGGGACTAACCATTTTATTGATTACCAATTGTAAATGTGCATGGAAACAGTTGAAAATTTACAGCAGCAAAAAAACGGTTAGCATTATTTCGACTGATTTGAAAACGACTTTAACCATGATCTAGAAAAGTCAAGTGATTTAATAATCGTTTACAAAAGAGATGGATACATTGGAATTGGATACACATTCCTTTGTCTTTTCTTGCTTTTTTGAAGATTATTCCAGCTTTATAAAAAGTTTTTTTTATTGTACTGTCTAAAATCGTTACAGTTTTACCACGTCTCATAAAAAAGTTCGAACATAAATGTTCATCAAAGAAAAAGAGATAATTGGGATCATCTTAGACAAAAACCTAGACTAATTCTATATACATATTTTGAATGTTTTTGTCATTTAAACCGTCTATAAGTGACTAAAACAGAAGGGATTTTTGCCAAATGTACCACATTTTTCAAATTTCTTAGCATCTGTACCATAATTGAGAATGGTTTAGCACTTGTACCACATTCATGTAGTATTGTGGTATGAAAAAGACGGTTTCGCCCTTAGCTGATATGGTAGATAAAGTGTTACATTTAGGGACAAGTATCTAGGGGGACAAAAAACCTATTCGGGGACAATAATCAAACGAAATATAAACATCAAACAAAATGAAAAAGACCGCAATTAGAGTTTACATACTAAAATCCAAGAACAATGAATTAAAATTGAGGAACAAAAACCAGCAAACATGCAAAAATAAGATGAAATTATAGAGAAACTCAAACTTCGGGGACAACTGTATGTAAACTTCTTTTTGTGTCCCCAATCTATGAATTTTGTCCCCGAAATTTGAGCAAACAAAAAGAAGGACAAAATGGTCATTACATATCTCAATCGTGGTATGAATGCTAACTGGGCTTCGAAAGTGGTACTGGACCTAAATTTTGGGTCAAATGTGGTACTCAATCTAATTTTCTCCTAAACAGAATGGTGAGATAATTATTAATTCCACATGTAAAAATATAGCTCCTTGGTTTAAACCAATAGGGTGAATTATTGACAAGACAAATTTATCTCTCTTCTTTTTCGATCTTTCTCTATTCATAATACTTCATGATATTCATATATAATGCATTAAATCAGAAATCATGTTACA